TACCTGCGATGGTGTGTTTGGAAGGGGGGCGGAGGAGCGGAGGGGAAGGGAGGGGAAAGGGAGAATGTAAGGGGGAGTAAAAGATGAAAATAAGGAATATAAAGGAGTGTAATGCTCATATCGAGCGTGATTTCCCTAAGACAATACAATCAACTCCCTCCTCTCTCTTTTGCCCTCCCCCCCCTCCAACTACCACCACCATCACCACCCGCTCTACCGCCCAAGAGGCCCTCAATCATTCTTAAACGCACCAGGGACCTGCTTCCTCCAGAACGCCTCCAACTCGGCGGGCGTCGACGGGGACCTGTACCCTCTCCTGTGCGTATGCCCTCCGCTGCTAGCCCCAGAGGTATTACGGCCAGGACCATTGTTGCGCGAGACGTCTTTAACCCCCTTCGAGTAGGATTTGGAAATGCTCCTAGGACCCCGTGCACGCTCATTGCAATTACACCCCGGGGCGCCACAGGTACACACCCCGGGTCCCTTCCCACATTCGGGATCCCCACAGGGGCACGTACCGACTGGAGCAGTATCGTATTCACAAGAAGAGCACGAGGAACACTCACACCCGCAAGGCATCCTAACAACCTCCTTCTCCTCTTCAACCTTCTCTAGCTTTGGTTTCGGGGCCTCGACTTTCTTCTCCGTTATCTCCTCTAGGTGGTGAACATGGCCCGGCTTAACTACGGGGACGTAAGTGACCACGAGGTGGGGTTGTGCTGACTCTTTGGCAGTGGCTGGTTGGTGAGCCTGCGGAGTAGGCGCCTTCTGGATGGCGGCTTTGGGCGCGGGTGCGGGTGCAGGAGCTTGTTTAAGGACTCGGACTTCGGGCGATGGGGTGGGAACCTTGACTTTTGGAGCGGTTATGGTATGTGGGGCGACGTGGACGGGGGGGTGGACGGGGGCAGGTTCTATGGGTTGGGGCGCGGCACAGGGGTGGATTTGGGTCTGTCCGTCGGTGATCTGCTTGACAACGAAGGTCTTCGCCCCGGCAGCTGGGGCGGGGATGTCCACGGGCTGGGCTACCGTCGCACACTTGCCCTCATCGTCGCACTTTTTCCTGCGAGTGATTATGGTTCCCGGTGGGTACTCTGGGCTGTATCGTCATGTTAATTGGAAACTTCTGTTAGCAATGTATCCAACGAGTGATATTTTGTGAATTGGTGAGCTTTGGGAGCGAGTGGATGAATACGTGCCCAGCAGGGTATGTGGTATCGCGCTTCCCTATATGATTCTTCATGAACCCGCCCTTGAATATGCCCTGCTTTGGGAAGATGGACATCGGATGCTTCTTCTTCTGCAGCAGCATCTGCTTATTCAATAGAGCTTTGTTGGTGTCCTTACGGTGTGCGGCAGCAGTACTATTCAGCTTGCTCGGCTGCTTCTGCATTATATGCTTCGGAGCCTTCGCAGTGCTGGAGCCCGGTTGGGTGTTCTGTGGCGGGTGGCTCGTCGTATTCGACATGCCGCTCATGGAAGCCTTACGATTTGGCACAACAGAACCCTTGCCCTTCTTAGTTGACGGGAGCAAGTCTAAGGGGTCCTCTTCCTCCTTCGTGGTTTCAGGCTTAGCCGTGCCCTGAGCGGAAGCCAGCTCCTTCTTCTCCCTAAGGGATTTCTGGTAAGTGGGGTCATTGTCGATTACCAGCTGACCTTTCTCCTGCATATTCCTCGCGCTATGCATCATCTTCTCGGCCTTCGCCCGGATGTGCTCTGGCCAGTTCCGCTTGGCGAGGCGTTGCTGGCGGGCGGCGGGGGTTTTCCAGTTGCCGTCGGCGTCCATTGTCAGGTCTGGGATGTGCGGGTTGTACATGTAGGGGCGGAACACCCCCGCTTCACGAGCCTCCCGCTCGTAGGCGTCTATGAGCTTAAGTGTGGGTAGGTCGTAGCCGCGGATGTCGTAGCCGAAGAGACGGATGTGGTCATTGTCGTACTCAGGTTCGTAGTACTTTTCCTCCTCCTCCTCTTTGATGGTTGTGAGATGTTGGTAAGTTATGGGCTTAGGGTTTGGGGCTCGGCGTCTGTGCTGGAGGCCCCGACTGGGGATCCGAGAGTTGGAGGGTGTGGATGTACTGGAGGCGTCAGCTATCTCTTTGGCGGAGTACTCCTTGCCCATCATCTTCTCGATCTTGGATATTGCGTTAGTCTTGCGCTTGTACTCGCCCTCACGTCCCTCGTATGGATCATGGTAATTCAAAGTATCGCTAACGACGCCGAAGGAGAAGGAATTCCAGAGGTCGTCGGAGACGTCCTCTCCAGAGGTGGTGGTGGTGGATCCCGCGTCGCCCTTGTCGGTCACCGCCTTCTTCTTCTTCTCCGCAATAGCAGGAGCAGGGCCAGGGCCGCCGACAGACGAGGACTTCCTAATGCGTGTGTAACTCTTGTCGTTCTTGACCGGGCCGGACGGCGTATCGTTGGTGATCTTGACATTGCTCGAAGAGGCGTTCTCCGGCTCGGGCTTCGGTGCGTCGGCGCCGGTAGGTTCAGCGACCGACTTGGTGGGGAAGTTCCGAGCGCCGTAGTACTTTATGGCTCCCTTCGCCGGGTGCCTGGTCCCTGCGAAGTCTGGGCGTGGTGGTGCTCTTTGTGGCTCGGGCTCTGGGTTCCAGTCGTAGTATATAGGCTCTCGGTTACTCCCAGGAGCGTAGGTCTCCCCTTGCCAGTACTTTGGATAGTTGCCTGCATGGCCCAAATTCTGTGGGTGCTGCGGGAACTTGGAAGCGTAGTATGGGATCTGCGGCAAAGCGTATGCTAATATAAAAAAAAATGAGGTATTGGTATTAGTTTGTTTCCAGAAAATATTTAGAGTTTCTCAAGATAGCCCACCAGTACTGCATAGACTCGCAACACTCAAAGCAAGAGCATGCTGAGCTGGCTTCATTTGCCGATTTTTTTTTTAGAAAAAAAAGTTCTCAGCAGGAAAAGGAGTGAAAGTGCAGATTTGGTGATTTTTTCTCTCTTTCTTATCCCACGTTCTTGAAAGAATGGACTGAGGTGTCTGTTTGAAGTGATAACCAAGCCTCACCACTGGAATCGACCTGCTTTATGTAACTCTCCAGATCATCAATTCGCACTCGTGCACGTTACTTCACCTGGTTTCTACCCGATTCTTTCTCACTTAGGCACCTTTACGCACTCAAAGGGCAAAGGAGTAGATGGGAATAGTTATGGAGGTTTCGGCCGAGATACAGCTTGCTAAAAAAAAAAAAAAAAAAAGTATGATAGAACGTGGCGGAAGTCCTCTTTTCACTTCCGTTGCTGTTTTGCCAGTCATATATTGGGAAAGGAGCGGCCAAATGCCTTCTCTCTCCTCCGGGAACCTAGGGTTCAAGCGTCTTCGTGAGGCCAGGCTTCGAGTGCTAAGGGAGGAGTGTGAATAGGGTAGACGGCATCTACGGCTATTGGGGAGCGGACGGCAGTGAGACAGTAGATATTCTGTCATCCAGTCCTCATAGCATATAGCCATGGGTAGTGCCGTTTAGCCTTTGTGGATCGGTCCGAGACCTAGTGCCGGACTCCTCATATGGATAGAAGAAAGGAAAAAAGAACGGGCGCCATACCACACCTTCATCCCCGGCCTCCACCTTGCCCCGAAGCTCCTCCTTCAAGGTCTGTTCTCGCGCGTGCCTGTGGGTATGGAAAAGGATAAGTAAGATAGTAACTGTATGCTGAGGTCATATGGTCCGATACAGGCTCGAAATAATGACCGCAAGCCTCCCCAACAGTCGGGGAAGGGGTGGGTTAGTCCATCAAGTCCAGCGATGGAATAAACATGCTTTCTCACGACTATCTGGGCTGGGTCTTCGGAACAAAATCTGTAATAAAACCGTAATATAGGGCCCACCAGGTGACCTCGGTACCTGCGGGACGGATAAAAAAATTCGGCCTATTAAATTCCATATCCAGACAGACTTATGGCTCCCCAGAGAGCCAGGGGCAATTGTTGGGATGGGTTGCTTCCCGGATATGGTGGGGTCGCCGGGTGGATTTCCGCAATCCCCCTTGGAAGGCGCAGGATTTTAAGAGAGGCTATATTGCGGAACAGCCTTTTTAAAAGTTCTTCCCAGGGTCCTCGGACCCGACCTCTTTGAACTAACGGCAAGGGCTTGACCGGTTGTGGTATAGTTTGACTAGGCGGTGGGTGCAATAAGCTTTCTATAAATTTAGACCTTACTACAAGTATCACAGCTACCAACATCCAGTATCGCCTCTGATCTTACTCTATAGGCATGGCTCTTACCACCCTGGAGATACCACCTCATTGATGGGGCCGGCATTCTGGATACTCGAGTACTAGTATTTGCTACCTAGGCCTCTCCTGAAAGGGTAGCTCTACAGGATATTAGATGGTGATCAGATACACAATTATAGAACCACTAAGCAGAATTGACAAGCTAAAGCACACAGAATTGAATGTGTGGTAAAGACGTAACTCCATGTTTTTCTTCCGAGAACGACCCGTCTACCCCTCCCTTTTGAAGCAAAAAAACAAAAAAGCAACAAAGCAAAGGGAAAAAAACACTATTCACACAGGACGTCATACATGAACTAAAAACAGACACCGTAACGGGATAGGAAAAAGGATTCCAAGAAAAAAACATGTCAATTGTCTATTGAAGTCGATGAGCATGAATTCTTGGGGGATATGGAGCAAGAGTAAGGAAAAAAGAGAGAGAATGAACCTGAGGACATGCGCACAGGGACCGGTCGAGTAGCACATTGATGTCCACGAATCGGAAGGGAAGAAGAAAATGCGGTCAATTACGCCAATTATTCATTATAATGGTAAACCTAATTCATTAAAATCGTATCTTCAAATACAATAGATATATGCGGAACTCACCAGGTAATTTGGTAATCCATAAGGTTGGTGACCGAGCCTTCTTGCCATCTTTGCAAAGCCTTCGGTCTCAATAAGATTGTAAAATGGGAATGGAGGGAACATAGCACCATCACGGTGTACCTCCGCCTTGACCAGCAGTGCTGTTCCGCCGACACCATCGAGCTCGGTCTCCTGGTGTGGATCTCCACCCTCCGCCATTTCGTACGCCATTAGGGACCTGTAAGTTGCCATTTCATGATATCCTTCAAGAATAATCTCTTCCGGACCCATTTTCCCAGCCATTGCAAGGGCAGTATCTGAGTCGTGCCACGAGTTGAAATCGTACGGACGGATCTTCTCCTTGCCCTTCTCGGTGTACCTTTGATAACAATTTGGAACAATTACGGCCTTATCGTGTGATGCAAGGTCTTGAATTAGGGTATGCGGAGTTTCAATAATATCTGCGTCCAACCACAAGACCCAGGCTGTCTCCGTTCCCAGGGTGGTATACAGCAAAGAATTCCTGGCACGAGACATGGCCGCCCTTCGTTCCTTTTGGGCAGAAAGCGCATGCCGCTCTTTCTCATTCTGGGGCACCGGTGCTTCGAAATCCTGTCGAATAATAGTCACCCCCAAAAATCTGTGTTTCTTCGACCCGGTTTGTACACGGCGAACGGCATCCTCTAGTTTGGCCAATGCTGTGTTACCCTCGCGGGTCTTGGGAACGATAAATCCGAGCTCGATCAAGTCGCGAGGATAGCTAAGCTTCAAAAGATTTTGCCAATACTCATCATAAAACCTAGCCACGGGGGTTAAAACTAAAACCTTTTCACGGCTACCAATAGGGTCGGAGGAGGTAGTAAGGTTGTTAAGGTAGTAGTGGACAACCGGGGGAGGCGAGTTGGGTGATGTTCGTGTGGATGACGATGAAGCGATCTTGCTCTTTGGAATTGATGGCACGGGATTTGATGGTGAAAGGATAAAAATTATAAAGCCGAGGAAAAGCACTAGGGCTAATAGTAAGGTTATGGGACTCGAGCGGCGCAGAGGTCGAACCATAGTTTAGATATGTGTGTAAATACTGCGATCGGCGAATGCAATCAGTTGATGTCAAGAATGAAGGGGGTTGTTCCAGGGGAGTACAGCGTGGCCCGAAGAGAGCACATATCGTACCTGTTAGTAAGAATCTTGGAAAGAAAAGAGAAACCCCAGAAATAGGGATAAGGGCGGCGGCGGGAACAATCAGGGACGTGCAGCCGTCCTGCGCAGTGGAAAGAGCGGTGTATACAGAGGTGATGAAGGAAGGGTCTCAATACCACGATGAATAATTATGAAGGAAAGGCAGTGAGAAGGATTAATAGGGGAAGCGAGAGGGTATTGACGGAACAATCTCTTGAACTTGAAGATTGTGGCTATGACACTCTGGTATGTGGTGTGCATCGAGTAACTTAATTTAAAGGCTGATACAAGTAGGCGCCGCGGCTGAAATTTTATTTTACTTGGCCACCCACAAGCCCCTACTGTGGCGATGTATTAGGGGCAACCAAAGTACCAGTACTGTACCGGTAGTCTACAAGACTGCCAAACATTTGCAGTTCAAGCTATGCAAATACCTGGCGCAAGCTTGTATGATACCAGTACTTTGTTGCATCCAAGATATTGTCACAGCACCTTTTTTCAAGAAGATTTTGTTAACGGGATCGAACAAGTATTCAGACGCTTGGCGCCAAGTCAGGTACAAATAATGTCAAGGTGTCCCAATACTTTATCAAGTAAGATACTGGAGTATGATTGTTTTTTTCCCTTCCTTTCCTAATGAATGACTAAGCTATACTAGTATCATACTTGATAATAGCATCTAACAAGAGCTTCCCCACCAATGCCAAAAGACTTGAGCGCCTATAATACTCAGCAACGGATAGACTAGAAGGTTCTCTATTTGTGAGACAAAACAATTTTGCTGTCAACATTTGATGCATAGACAAGTAAAACCTATCTTGGGATATCTATGAATCGGAAGAAGGAAATTAGCAAGCCTCTCAAAATGTATTCTAGAAGTCATTTTTGACTGTCGGCACGGTGCGTATAATGCACACCATCTGTCCTGGGGTGGAGTGCGGTTAACCATGAGAAACAGAAAGCTTTATGGCTGTCCCGAATTTACTGATAATATTGCAGGGTGATACCGGTGTAGGCATAGAATGACAACACTAAGTTATCATGGTAGGGCCTGTTAGGTCCAAGATCTACCCAGAAACTCTGATGATTGGACATATCAGAGCCCTTCCAAGTGGAATAACAAGATGTTCTGGAAGGACTTCAGACCAGCCTTCTCGAAATCGATAGGTCTATTCTACCTTTGGGCACACACCCACAGGTCAACTACAGTATTATCAGAACCTGATTTCTTTAAACGTCCCCAGCTACGAATTGCTGGGCCCCGACTGCTTGTAAATTACACTACAAGCATGTTCGAATCGGCTCCGAGGTAAATAAGTACAGCATCCGGATATTGAACCAACATTAATAATATCATACTTTTTTTCCTCCCGAAATATGCCCTCCCCCCAACGGGGCACAATTCAGATTCTGCCACACGCCTCCACAATTCCACAGTACTTTATGAATCGTTAATTAGCAAATGTTTAGCTGAATTTTTGTAAATGGACAGATCCTGGTTTGTGCTTATGCTCGTGATATAGACTTGTGCCTGATCATCGGAATCACGTTCCTAGTTAAGAATACGGTACGATGAACGGTAATAATTTTTGGTGTCTGGTGGGGTTACGATGCCGTGAAAACATCATGAGCCCTTGGTGTGGATAAGGAGTTAGGTAAGTAGGATGGTACCTACAGTACTGTAATACTCCATGGGGCGTGAGGTACAGTACTGGTGGGAGTGACTGTAAAAACTCTTGACCCCACTCTCTTCTTTACACCAGCATCATCATATAATCTCCGGATCCAGAGACAAGGGCCCCCGAGAAGAATCAGCATTTTCCTGACATAGTATAGGATCGGCACACTGCCGGCAGGCGTGCTGGATCTCATTGCCGTAAGAACTCGAGTAAACGGACCATGTGCTGGGCAGTCCGGAATTTCCTCCCCTGGAACCTGCATTCCGAGACAAGTAAAAAAAAGAAAAGAAAAACAACAAACCTTACTGGGAGAGGCAACTCTAACGTCCTAGCGCAAGGTCCAATTATTCGGGGTAACTTCTTTTTTTCCGAGATTCTGTCAACCCGTCGAACTGAGCCTATCGTGCTGGCGGGCCGATTTCCGCTGGTAACCTTGCAACGGATTTGGTTTCAAGAGTTTTTGCAGCACCACAGAAACCATCGGAGCCAACCAGTTCTCGGGAATTGGCGAACGCCCTAGATATGCTACCAGTGCCAAATCGAGAGGAAGTCCTGCATGCGCGGATGCATACCTCGAGTAGTAGATGAGCCCGGGTGCTGGTGTACGGCGAATGGTGTGGACATTCCCGGGGTGGATGTTCGCTTTTGGCGAATTGTGTCTGCCCTACGATACCTTGCTGATCCAATTTGCTAAGCACTAGGATGGAGAATAGGGTGCGAGCAAACCCACACGATGACCAAACATCCCGGGCGCCGCGACGCACTTGCAAACTGCAATGCTCGAGTACGGAGTACAGTGTTCTCAAAGCCAGGAAATGGCTAACTTAGCAGATAATAGCCTTCCACGTTTCAAATTGTCGGGGCATCGAGGCACAAATTTGGGAGTCCTAAAAGCTCAAGTAAATGGGACACGAGGGGACATGCGTCCTTCATCGCGAAATCCCAACAGGCCTAGAATACGGGGGAGAACTACCGTAGCACCCCTACCAGCAAGCACCGAAGCTGCCTGACAGATACCCTTGACCGCCAAGTTCCGCCTTTAGCCGGAGAATAACTGCTCGGAATTCCATCTTAAACTCACGGAAAGGAGCGGTTGAATCGCTGATAGGTTAACCCTTTTCAACACCAGTCGCCTCGCATACCGATATTGGTATTACACCATTCTTAGGGTGGGGGAGGGGTAATACTCGAGTACAGGGGGAGGAGGGAAGACGCGATGAGGGGTGGGACATGTGCGACAACATGGAAGAGCTCCCGGGTGGTGAATGGTTGTTTGCCCTCTATGGGATGTGCTAATCATGTATTAAATCATATTGAGAGTTAATACGAGTTGATATCATCGCGAGATCCCGCCCTATCGTGCGCACATTATCTCTGGACATCTATGCCAATCGAACCATCGGTATACTCCTTTTAGATTCTGCTGAAGGTTTTTGCAGAGTTAGAAAACTACTCGTAGGCGGAGTAAAAGGATAGGGACTACCGACCGCGAAACACCCAAAGACACGCCCCGTCCAGATACAGTCCCAATTAATTGGCTTCTGTGTAGTGGTTACAAATATTTGATTAATTAGTAGTGAACCGTGTATTTGAGCGGGGTGTGTCTAAGGTCCTGTACTCGTACTGTACTTGTGCAGGTATGTGGGCATTCTGCGAGCTATACGATAGTAGCCAAGCGAGGAATTAGGACGACAAATATCAAATAGTTTGCCTTCGGAACATATGACAGGAAGGTTTGATATTTCATTTGGTGGGCTAGCTGTTCTCAGTTGTTTACCTCTCCATAATACTACATTATCTCTGCACCAAGGTATCATAACTGGGCTTCCGGTTCGCACGATAAAAAGGTTTCTCCAGCTAACTTACCAGTTAAATACCATTCACCCCAGTCGCGCCCTTGTAGCCCCTCTGGCAAGATAATGTGCAGTACACGATGGAGCAGAATCTCGCTCCAAAGTATGATACCAGAAGTATCTATACCTGTAAGTCCTGGGCACTGTATCAAACGCGAGCTTAGAGTCACGATAACGGATTTTGCCCTAAACCCCGCTTTCACCCCCAATATCCCCAGCCCGTCTCCCCGAACGCCTATTATTCACCTTTAATCGGCGAGGACTTGAGTGGTCTTTCCTGCCCCCATAATTTCATAAATTCAACGGAAGTAATGGGACTTGGCTTCCTTATCAAGATGACAAGCGGGATTACAAAGCGTACCGCAAAAAACATCAAGCAGACCGCGATGAGACTGACGTAAAACCCGCGACCCCACAACTAGGGAGAAAAAGAAAAGAAAAACCCTTCCCTCCCAGCCACTACCACCCCTCCTTTCCTTTCTACCCCTCTATATCTTGTCTACTTTTTCCTTCCCCCCCTTTCCCCCCTCAGACATATTCGTGAGAACGAAGTCGAAACGAACACCAGTCTTACTTCAGATACTCATTCGCTCATCATGACTTACGGCGAACTCGACCAATTGGCTATCAACACAATTCGTATTTTAGCGGTATGTTAAATCCTTCCTGGCTTAACATTTTCCCTCTTGTCCCCTTCCCCATGCCTCGGTGGATAAAGCTGAAACCTTTTGTTTCTAGATCGATGCTACTTCCGCGGCAAACTCCGGCCACCCTGGTGCGCCCATGGGAATGGCCCCCGTTTCTCATGTCCTTTTCAACAAGTAGGATTCTCAACATGTTGCTAATACCCCTAGAGCTCAATTGCTGATATCATGGATTTCTGAAGGTTTATGAGGTTCAATCCTAAGAACCCCTCATGGGTCAATAGGGATCGGTTTGTTCTATCGTAAGTCTGCCCGAGCCTTTCACCCGTGCGTTACAGGTTTGAAATGGCGATATGGACAATCAGTGAACTAACCTTTGCAGTAACGGTCACGGTTGCATGCTTCAATATGCTCTGTTGCACCTTTTTGGCTACGACCTCAGCATTGACGACTTGAAGGCTTTTCGTGTAAGTAAATACTCTATTACCTGCTGAGTGGTGCGTGCACCGGGGCATAGGATCCGAAGGGGACCCTCTATGACGGGGGAATTCTTTGACTTAGCCCATCCAAGCGCACTATTGCCTATTCCTACGGCGCGCAATATATGATACTAACCGTGTTATAGAAAATTGGATCTAAGACGCCTGGTCACCCTGAGGCAGCTGATACCCCTGGTGTCGAAGTTACCACTGGCCCTCTCGGCCAGGGTTTTTCCAACGCTGTCGGTCTTGCCATTGCTCAAGCCCACACCGCTGCCGTCTTCAATAAGCCCGGATATAACCTTGTTGACAATTACACATACCTGTACTTTGGTGATGGATGTGCTATGGAGGGCATTGCTTCCGAGGCGGCTTCGACCGCTGGACATTTACAATTGGGGAATCTTATTGCTATCTATGACGACAACCATATCTCGATTGTAAGAAATCCTAGTGGCCAATTGTGGAATGGCCTTGCTAATTTTTTATAGGATGGTGACACCAATTGTGCCTTCACTGAGGATGTCCTGAAGAGATTCGAGGCTTATGGGTGGCACACCCTTCACGTCAAGGACGGAGACCACGATCTCGAGGCAATTGAGAAGGCCATTGCCGAGGCCAAGACTGTCACCGACAAGCCATCTGTTATCAAGCTTACCACTACCATTGGTTTCGGCTCCAAGCTCGCGGGTACCGGAGGTGTTCACGGAAACCCTCTTAAGGCTGATGATGCTAAGAATGTTAAGACTAAGTTCGGATTTAATCCTGAAAAGAGCTTCGACGTTCCTTCCAGTGTTTATGAGGCTTATGGGGAAACTGCTTCTAAGGGAGCAGCTGCTGAGGAGGAATGGAAGCAATTGTTTGCCAAGTACAGAAGCGAATACCCCAGAGAAGCAGAGGATTTCGCAAGGAGACTTGATGGAAGACTCCCCGAAGGCTGGGAGAAGAATTTGCCAACGTAGGGCTCATTTGATTTTGTCCCGAGTCTCATGCGGCCGCGCTAACAAGGGGTTCATCAGATATAAATCTACTGACGCTGCTGTTGCCTCTCGGAAGCTTTCCGAGACTGTTCTCTCTAAATTATATCCCATTATTCCGGAGCTTATTGGTGGCTCCGCCGATCTGACTGGGTCCAATCTTACCAGGGCAAAGGAAGCAATTGACTTCCAGCCCCCGTCGACAGGGCTTGGGGACTATGCCGGTCGTTACATTAGATACGGTGTACGTGAGCATGCCATGGCTGGTATTATGAACGGTCTTGCCGCATATGGCACCATTATCCCTTTTGGCGGAACCTTTTTGAACTTTGTGTCCTACGCCGCTGGTTCTGTAAGACTAAGCGCTTTGAGCCATGTCCGATGCATCCACGTTGCAACTCACGATTCGTACGTATAACCCTGTGCACTCCGTCTTTAGCTATGCACAATAAACTGAATTTCTGTAGCATCGGTCTTGGCGAAGACGGACCTACCCATCAGCCTATCGAGACATTGGCTCATTTCCGTGCTCTACCTAATTGCATGGTCTGGCGGTATTTTTTCACGATTCTTCACAATTTCTTCTCGCAGTAGAAACTAACAATCTCCAAGTCCCGCAGATGGTAACGAGGTTTCCGCTGCCTACTATGTAGCTCTTACATCTAAGCAAACCCCAAGCATTATCGCTCTCAGCAGACAGAACCTTCCACAACTTGAAAACTCCACTATCGAGCGAGCCATCAAGGGTGGATATGTTGCTGTTGAGGCAGAGAATGCCGACGTTACTCTTATCTCTACCGGCAGCGAAGTAGGTATCTGTGTTGATGCCGTCAAATACCTTAAGGATAACCACAACCTTGTTGCGAGAGTTGTTTCGCTTCCTTGTTGGGAAGTTTTCGATGCTCAAGACAAGGGGTACAAATTATCTGTCATCCCTGATGGCATCCCAGTTCTGTCGGTCGAGGTTATGAGTACGTTGGGTTGGGAGAAGTTCTCGCATGAGCAATTCGGACTAAACCGATTTGGCGCTTCCGGTCCTTATAAGCAGGTATGTGTCCAAAAGGATTTAAACTTTGTTTCGGGGCCCCAATAGCTGACATGGAGTAAAGGTGTACGAGAAATTTGAGTTCACACCTGCTGGAATCTCCAAGCGTGCCGTCGCTACAGTTGGCTTTTGGAAGGAAGTTACGCCTATCAGAAGCCCTATCAACAGGGCTTTCACTCAATTGATCTAAATACATGTCTAGGCCTAAATGGAGCTTAGACAGTCCTCAGATAGATAACTGCTTTTGCGTTTTTCGCTTTTTCATATTGCCTTTTTTGGGGGGATTTCGTGTTGGGTCTGCCTTGGGAAATTATCAATTAATTCTAGCAACCCATTAAATTATACAAAGCAACTTGCACGTTACCGGTATCTTACCAATATCCTAGGGTTGAGGCTGTGAATCGATACCCGTCATTGTGATAAATAGCCGCATAAATTATATCATACTAGGCGGAGAGTATGGCCACCCTGCAGCACGTGTTGTGTGGGCCAGAAATTGGTCATCAGCGCCTCCTAGACCTCGTAAAGTCCCCCATGCACCAACGCCCACAATATTTCTAAGAGCTGCCATATTGATGTTCGCACAATAAGCCTTATGACTAAACCAACTCTGAACTCATATTCCGCGTCTATGGTCCCCTTATGGATAGCGTAGCAACACCAATACCGTGCTATTTTTAGCGCTTGTTCCCACCTGACCTCCCTCATCCAATGTAACGACCTCCCCAAAGCCAACACTCCATGGATGTTAAATCCCCATGGAAGCACTCGGACCACGCCCCGTCAAAACCCACAGTAAAAAGTTGTATCATACCGCAATCAATCACAGATATCCCACTAATCGCCTCTCAACCCCTCGCTCCGCTAGATCTACGTATGCAGGGACATCCTATCCTACCGTATCCCACTTCCAACACCAAAAAAAAAAGAATTCGCTAGGGCCCTAGTGCCAGATTTTGGGGCTCGCATCCGCGCCGATGTGCCTTTTGGTCCTTTTGAGGAGGAGAGAGGGGCAGTGACCGGTGTGTCATGCGGGATCCAGTTCAAGTTATTAGGGCACTGTTGGTATGCACCTGGGGTAAGGTGAGTGCAAATAGTGTAGTGGTGTACGAGTGAGGGGTTGTGACGAATTGTTTGGGCGGGGGCGGCGAGGTGAGGTGAGTGAGACATGACTCCGAGGTGGCACGTGAACTTATCGCTGATAAAGCATCGGTGAGGAGGAGGAGGAGGAAGAAGTGGTTGACTAGTATCATAGCCTGGAAGGGGGAGGGGGTACGATACGGTACTGTACGTGAGCGGCGCGAGAAATATTCTTTCTTCCACAATTCTTACAATTCTTCTTGCCTTGTATGATTACGGTACGGTATCATACTTGTTATCTACCGGTATATGTATGATATCATAATATAGAATAAAAAACCGTTTTGACAACCATGTGTGGAAGGAAGTCGGAAAAAGAAAGAAAAAGAAAAGAAAGGGCAAGTTTTTTTTTTTTTTTGTTTTGTTTTGTTATGGATGTTAAAAAAAAAATTCCTTCCTTCCATTACTGGTGGTTAAATTCGTATATATACTGTACATACAGTAGGTGAAGTTTTACAAGTTACAAAAAAGCAAACTGAAAAAAAAACTAAACCGAAAAAATACTAGTGGTGAATTCCAACCTTCTTCCCCTTCTTTCTAATTCCCGATTCATTCGTCGATCCATCCTGACCTGACCTGGTCCGACCGATACCAACACCGACAACCGATATATAACCGATAATAAGAAGAGAAAAAAAAGAAAAGAAAGCTGTAGAGTACAAGTAAAAATTAAAAAAAAAAAAAAAAAAAAGTGGAGAAGAAAAAATAAACAAACTCTTTGAAAATGAAGTAAGTACTGAAGAAAAAATAAAATAAAATAAACTTGGATACAAAGAAAAGGAATAGGTATAAACTAAGATTTGTCGATCAAAGGAAGAAGAGGAAGAGGAAGAAACAAGAGAGAGGGAAAAAGGAAAAAGAAGAAGAAACATCCAACCATTGTCCCCATCAAACAACGTACCTCCTACTATCCACCATCCAACTAGCCATCCCGGTCGAGAAACCAACAGCCAACTCAAGATACTTTCTCAAGTTCTCACTGCTCGTGCCGGCCGTGGCGGAGCAACCTGTTCCCGGCCTCCTGGTGGATAGGAGAGAGTCCCTGTTATCCCCCACCCCGTCACCTCCAGCTCTCAGGGACGAGGCAACGCTCCAACTGCTAACGCTTGTGGTGGAGAAGTGATTCGCAAGCACCCTCAGACTCCCCCCTCCAACGCTACTACTGCTGCTGCCCCCGCTGGACACGGGCGGCAGTTGCACCGTGAAAACCTGATTCCCGCCAATGACATCGCCGTGGTGGTGGTGGTGGTGGTGGTGATTGTGATTCATGAACTGTCCGGGTAGCGGCGTCAGGGGCGGTAGGTCGAAGGTATCGGACCAGGCCCGGTCGCCGTACTTGGCGAGGTGCTCGACTAGTTTGTTGTGGATCGCTATCACCTGGGCCAGGGCCCTCGTCGGTTTCTTCCCGTCCTTGATCAGGATCTCGACGGTGTTGAGCGGCGTCTTTGTCTTGTGATCCTTTTCCCAGCCTGATAAAGTGGGGGCAGTCCTTGTCAGAGTGATATTTTGTGATGTAAACGGGGGGGGGAGTAACTTACCTATTATGTCGTTCTGTAATCCCATGATCAATTGCAGCAGGCACTCCACTTTCGCCAGGTTGTTCCTGTTGGACTTTTTCGAAGTGAGCAGGAGGTCTTGGTAGTCTGCTGCTAGGGGATTGCCGAAAGGTGAGAGCGTAGGGTCAAGGCCCAGGCTTGCGCGGGTTATTATCATGAATGGGCGAACTGTTTGGGGGTTGTTAGCTCGAACTTGTGCCTGTGCCTGCGCCCTTGGGGTTGGGTTTGGTTAGTTAGTCGTACCTGAGATTGTGATTATCCTGACACGCATCCACTCTGTTAGGTCGATCTTGCTAGCGCTATTCTTCCCCAGGAGGGGACGCTCGGCGCGGAATCCCATGATCACTTCGCGCACGGCTTCGCGAAATATGGGGCGCCAGAGGTGGTCGTCGTTCATGTGATTGCTGGCGCTGCTGCTGCTGCTGCTACCGTTGATGATGGTGGGGAATTCGTGGAGGGATGTTTCGTCTATAACTGTTCTCAGCGCTGTGGAGACTTTCACTATGTCGCTGATGGGCGCCGGCGGGGAGCAGGCGGTGGTTGCAGTAGTTGTAGTGGTGGAGGATGGAGAGGATGGGAGATCTTGGAAGTCTTCCGAGAAGATTCTGAGAAGGTCGGATTCGGCCTTGTCCCAGGCTTCGCCTGTTAGGGTTTCTGTCAAGTCTAGTGGGGTGGCAGAAGTTAGTAAAGGTAAAAAAGTGAGGGGAGGTGAGGTGGTACCGTCTATGATACACAACCACGTCCAGAAACAACTTGCTATGTAGCGGGCGTTGGCGGATATTTCTCCGTAGGGTAGTAGTTTGGGGACGAGGCCGAGGGGGCTGGCTTTCTCGGAGATGTCTCTGCAGCTCTCGGGAAGCATGGAGATGAACCTCTCGAAGCTTCCCCCATGGCCTTGCTCCTCGGCATCGCCGGCCAGGACGGATTCCAGACCCCTAGACGTCATTGGAATAGAGGGGAGTATCAATTCGAACTGCTTATTCCTCAGAGCCTTTACAAGCAGCGTGAGAGACTGCCTTTTGAAGACTGTATGGCCCATGTTGGTAGATATCTCCTTGTCGGGTAGGTTGACAAGAGAGTAGCAGATCTTCTGCAGACCCTCCTCATCACGACCGTCCTTCTTTGCTCCTCCCAGGAACCTAGCCTTGAAGCTAGACTTTATCCCGGAGATGGTGTCCGAGAAGGACTTCTTCTGCCACAGAATTACCTTGTTGAGAGTGAGCATTGGAACGCAAGAATCAACCTTCCTCGGCTTGGAATTATCAGTGTGGAATTCCGTGATAGTGAGAGTACTTTCAGAGAATCTATTCAAAGATGCACTCGAAGAGTTGACAGACCAGGACGAAGCCAGAGTCGAAGATATTATACTACCCCCATCTTGGCCTCCGTATCCCACCTTCGGGATCTTAATCCTCAAGTCTGGGGCATGAGCCCGACTAATTCCTGGCGTGTTGGGGTGTCTCATGTTGGTCTGCACCGAGATTTCAACGCCTTTGATTCCACCATCTTCCCCACCACCACTACCATCCCTCCTACTACTACTGCTCCTGCTGTTGGTCCCTCTGTGCCCATAGCCTACATGGTCATTTGGTTGGTAAGCGTAAGGCGAGGAAGGCAAGGAAGGCAAGGAAGACGAGAAGTAATGTTTCCTCCGGTGACCCTCCATGTTATTGTTGTTGCCCATAGAACCCGGCACCGTATCCCCGCCGCGGGCGTCAACGGCGGCGAATGAGCCGGCAATGGTGTGGTGGCGGTTATCGTGAGGGAGATGATGTTGCGATGATAGTAGGGACGCATCAGGCATGATACTGACCGGTGCGCGCCCACCACCCCAGCTTTTTTTTTTTTTTTTCAAAAATAAGAAAAAAATAATTAAGGTTGTTGGAAATGCGTTTCTATATAGTTACGGCTCAGTAAGGGAATAAAAAAAATAAAGGTAAAAAAAAAGCCTTATGCGGCGGGTCCGGTGGAAACATACACTTTTGTCCGAGAATGCCTCAGGAAAGAAGGCTCTTTGTATCAGCCCTTCTCAAACACAGCACTTATGGCGATGATTTCCAAAACGTTTTTTTTTTTGGTGGTCCCAAATTGCGACCTCCCCCCACCTCCCCCCCTCTTGAAATATATTTAATCCTTTTTTTTTTAAAAAAAAAAAAATTCCCCTTTGCAACTCCCGCGCAAGACCGACTCTGGGCGGGTGAGTGAGTAACTAGGGGATATATACGGTACCGTACTGAGGAAATATGGAAGACCGAATACTGGTAAGATCGACGTTGTTGACCCCCCACCTGACCTCGAGCTGCCGTCCGAGAAGGGAAGAGAGTCTATCCCAATGAGAAGCAAGTCACCAATAAACGTCGAATCCGAGCCGGGGAGCTCGTCCTTGAGTCACAAGTTGACATGAAGTATTTGCTCCCGCGGGATATATGAGTTGAAGAGGATGAGTGGGAAGAGTGAAGATGAAATCAAAAGAGATCAAAGGCCACTTTTCCCGCTCACGTCGTCAAAAAATATAAAAAAATACTTTATGTAGACGACTCTCTCTCTCCCTCTTTTTTTTTAGAAGGAAAAAAAAAAAAAAAAAAGTCCCCAGGGCAAGGCTGCGCTGTTCCAGATGATATATAGTGATGCAGCGTTCCGCGGTTTTGGTTTGGAAAATGTACAGTACAAGTACAAGTACAGCGCCGTACCGCACCGCACTGTATCCGGAGGAAAGGGTAGAAAATGAAAATGAAAAAGACTCTGAAATACCGCAGCGTGCCGATTTACAGGGAAGAGGGCGGAAATGGGAAACGTGGAAGCCAGGAGGTGGAGGTGGAGGTGCGAGGAAGGGAAACCGCGCAACTGGCAGGCCCTGGTTTAAGACTTCATATTGCTACCCACGAACGGGTCCCGGAGAATTGGGGTATGCGTGGAATTGCGTGCTGTCAAGATCGAAAGGGGGGGTTGGATTAAAATGAATGAGTGGGAGGAATCCCTCCCCGAAAAAAAAGAAAGAAAGAAAAGACCTCAAACGGGAAGGGGGAAGAGTGCTGCGAGTTGAGTTTGAGGAGGAGGAGATGGAGACCGCACAGAGTCCCTCCCTGAGCACCGGTAAGTGTATTCGCTCCCTTCTCGCTCCCTGGAATCCAGTGATATCGATAGGGTCGAGAGAGAGGGCACTGCATCAAGAAGGTAACCCCCTTCTCTACAACTGATATCAACCGGTCAAGGTAAGTAATTGAAGCATGAAAACAAAAACATTTTCATGACCAACAAGAAAGAAAGAATCTCACAGCGACATAGCGGACGGAACTCCGGAAGCGTTCAGTAACTTCGCATACAAAATAGAATTGTCCTTTCCCACAGCTGGCTTCTTCTACCTCCAGGTTGAGAAGGGTGCAAAAAGAAGCAAAAATAATCGTAGATCATTGCATTTGTTATACCTTTTCAAATCGAACCCTCGCCCGATGATGACATGAAGGCCCATATTGGAATTGGGCACTTTGGAACGAATGTGAGTGGTCAAATAACTCGAGAGCAGTTATTGACATTACTCGTACCAAGAACCTCGGCTCAAGCCGATGATAACTCTGAACACCAAGATTCCCCCCTACAGTAATAGACGCTCCATAAAGGATAAAAAAAGAAAAACGCAGGCAATGGAAAAACAAAACGAGCTGAGGCTTTGCTACTTGTACTGTACTGTACCTGTAGAAAGAAAAAAGGAAACAGGAAAAGGGAAAAAAGAAAAAAATCCCCACTCCAAGTGATTGGGTATAAGACGTGTCGTTGGTGGTTGAAAATGTTACTTTCCAGATTCCCACCAATACGGTCGCACTTGGATGTGCCTAAATAGGATTTATTAATTGTAACACAAAGACTACCAAAAAACAAAAAGGATATTAGCAACCTAACCAATCTTCATTTCGCTAAAATTTCTTTTTTTTTCCCTCTTTTGCCTCAGGACCCCCCCATCCATCCATAACAACACCCATCCATCAATCATCCACCACTATTCGACACCCACGCAACCATTCTCCAGGTTGCAACTTGCCGGCTTGTCCCCTTCATCGAGCGCACCACTCAACCTCCCTCCCTCCTCCCTCCACTCATAACAAAAACCCACGAGTTGGTAAGACCGGAACCACAGCATGCGAAAAGCACGAGAAAGGGAAGAAGAAAAAACAGTAACTCCTGGAAACCCCTGGGGACACAGTGCTTGCACCGTAGCGAACAAGAAAAGAGTTGGGAAATCTAGCTGCCCGGAAGCCTTTCCAAAAATATTCAAGCCTTCCCGAAAGAACTCGCGGTAGGTAGGGTAGGGCAGGATACCGAAAAACTAGAGCGCCGCGAACAGCCACCCACCCGGTAACGAACGAATTATTATTTTTTGTGTGCGAAAAACTTGGGAAGAGAGGGGGGAATGGCTTTCGAATCCCTACCCCCCTACCCCCCTACCCCCCCTTCTCGATTCTTTTCTGTTGATTTCCCACTAGGGAAGTGTACTCGAGCACAGTACTGTAGTACCATACGGTACTCAAGTTATGGGGGTGACTATCGCGCCCCATCTGGCCACCGCTTCCTAGCCGGTATCATATCCAATCAGGCCCTCTCCATGCGCACTTAATAGGCAAAAAAATATCTTATCGTAGCATAGTTGCGTAGTTTGGAAGGTAACTTGCTGTGCGGTATCATAACAACAAACCCTATGCAGGTCGAGCATCCTCGGTACCATACCGAAAGCGAACACCTGCAGTGTCTCACCTCGCCTAAGACATTGTGAGATGAATCGGAGACCACGATGGATTTACCGAGCAGGCGAGATATCTCCGAGTGACGCCCTATGAAGAGGGCAATTCACCACATGGCTTGACCGATCATGATTTAGGACAGCAACGTATGACGGACGGCACCGCAGTCCCACAAGAAAAAAGGAAGGAAAAAAGGAAAGAAAGAAAAAAAAGCACGGTAATGTAGGACGGATAAACTCCCTGAGGGGATTCATGTGATAATGCCACCAGACAGCACAGCAAACCAGGACCAGGAACGATTCAAAGTTGGTTTATGATAATATAGAAACCAGCCTATGAGTACTTGTCTGTACTCGTACATCCTCCCGTCGGCGGGATAGCGGTGGGAATTCGTGTTAGTCTATCCTCTTATCCTCCTCCCTCATCACAAAAGCTTTTGCCCTCGATTACCGGTATGCTCCCTGGGAAAAAGAGCTATCACACACGACCCAAACGGGGGAAGGAGGGAGGGGGAGAGAGGAGAGTCCGTCAGTTTTTTTTTCTTTTTCGCCAGCCACCACCGATTCGCGGTTTTTTCCTTTTTTACTTTGTGAGGAAAAGTGGAAAAAAGAAAAGAAAAAAGGATCGCCGTCCACTGCTGCGGTCGGGTCGAAGTGAATCCCCACTCGTATGCCAAGCTAAACCAAGACGGGGGTTCCCCACTTACTCGAGCACAGTACGAGTAATAGTCGTCCCGACCTGCTCTATGCGGCCACAACAAGGCGAGCGCTACCATGGTTTGAACTACTTGAGTATGATACTTGTATCAAAAAGTTTTATAATATTCACCCATCAAGCACAATTATGAGTATTATTGCTCGGCGGCGTGAAAGATAATACGAGTACAGAATATGCTGCAAGGCACTCACTTACCAGTACTTGTATTCCTTGGTTGGACTCAATCTGGCAGTTACAGTGGGTCAAGGATCCCCTCCCCGCGGGTCAAATGTGAACAGAAATAATAACGGAGGTCTGCTAAGTTAAAAAGGCATAATACATCATCTCCGCTGGATAGGAAGTTCACCCCTCCATCGCAAGTATCCGATGAAAGCCACCAGCTCTCTTTCTATCACTTTTCTTCTTTTCTTTTTTCCTTTTTTCCCTTCCCCTCGTTTCTTGCCTCACAATCCCCACGAGGGTTAAGCGAGTATCCGAAAGACCGTTTGAATTTAAACAGGCCGTCCATCATCCACCACCATTACCGGTACAGTACAGTACCATCGCCATCATCACGAGATGTGATCTGAACACGGTAGCAGCCCTTTTTTTCTTCGCGGGTACGAGCCTGTACGAGCAGCTCAGCAGCAGAACCAACGCACAACAGCAACCAAAAAGGGGGGGGGAAAGGAAAAAAAGAAACTCCAAAAATAATCAGTAGTTTTACAGAAAAACCAGCACACACATACCGGTACTCGAGTACATACATACCGGTAGGTGCCCTCTCAACACCTTATTTGTAGTGTACTAGTACTGTACACGGTACCCTCCATTCAACTGACTGAGCCCACCACGGCTACCCACTCTCCCTCCCGCCACTTACTCTCTAACCCAGGATTCCCAAATCGTATCTCGACAGCTGTAACTCGGATAATTGCATTTCCGGTTCATCTCAATCTACCGCCCAGGCCAATTAGACCAGCGCCGGGTCAGATCCCTCGTACCGAATGATCCGCAGCAAGGTCGGTCGCAGAAGGCTGATGTATCAAAAAGTTCACTTTTTCCCCAATCTTATCTGGTCCCCATGATACGGTATACGGCGGTCCAGATACCGTGCTGTGCCATACCCTATCTCTCCGACACCAAAGGAGTCTCACAATGCCCGATCAGCGCGGTCAATACAGGAGGAGATTCGTTCACTCGCTTCGCGAATCATGAACCGGAGAAATGAAGCGCGCGCCGCTATTATACATAGCACCAGCTCTCGAGGCGGTTGTTTGATAGTCGGTGCGATGTGGAGTCGAGCCTGATATAGAACGGGAGGGGATGCAATGGCTACGTATTTGTCGAGAAATTTCCAAGCTATGATCAGCATCTCGCGCTCCAGGGCTCCAAGTGACGACCCCACCTTTTCCCTCTTCGCAGCATTATTAATAGCCTCCTGTCTTATGAATTTTTGTCAAACCCGCAGCGATATCACACCATGAACCAAAGTCTCACACCACGTATCATCATACTGCGTCGCAGATCTGAACGAACCGGTGCGGTGCGGTGAGACTCCGCGTACAGTTTAGGGTATGGGAAGAACAGATCACGTCCCGGCACTCTATTTCGGGTGGATGATGTTGCCTGCTTGCTGGCAAGGGATAGACTACTCGTAGAGGGTTGAAATTCGACCATTCACCCGGTACGGTAGTTGGAATACTATACAAGTATAGTGCAGTAGCTCGACGGGGACGGCGGGCGATTTTGAAAATTTGCACCCTTCCGTGTACAGTAAATACTAGGCCAGCTTGGCTTCAGCTCGTGGCTATAAATTAAAATGAATGTATTTTTGATTCCAGGAGAGCGGATCACGGGCTCACCGATAGCCGATAACTTTATCGCACTAACGATGGAGGTATGATACTGTACTCGAGTGCAGTAGAGGGGGAAGGGAAAAATTACCCGGTTGAAACCGGTACAAGTGCAAATTAGCAAGACGAGAGATATCCTGCTTTGGAGTCGTTTGTTTGTTTGTATGATAATAGATGTGCTCCTACAAGTACCATACCGCAACTCACGGTCACACACGAACAAGCGTGATTACCAAGTAAGTGAGACCTTGTCACTCATTTTGGAATAAAATAAAAATGGCGAGATGGACCCACGTTCTCCCGCGGAAATTATTTGCGTTCGGGATGGGGCATGATAATGTGCGTACTGTGCTGTACTGTCATCGTGCGTAGCTAAGGAAATAAGTACAGTACTCGAGTAACGTACTCGTACAGTACCCGAGAGCTAGGATTTGCAATAAATAAATAAATAAATAAATAAATAAATAATGGCTGAGAATCCTTGCCCCCATCTCACGGCTCACAAATTCGTGACCCCTGCTTTTCGGGCACTTTTTTTTTCTCTTTCTTGCTGCTACAGGTATAAGTATCCGGTACCGAACATTTGAGACCGAATGAAGAATAAATTGTGATTTGAGTTCTGGGTTTGGCATACAAGTACGAGTACTCGTACCAGTACTGTATTAACTACAGTAGTACACAACATGGAGTTGATTGCCGGGAAAAAAAATCCCAAGGCCGAGTCAACAGGGAGAGCTGCGGTGTGCTCTCATGCGCTGCGGGCCTCGAGCCGCAGTGTTGTAGGGGTTACGTTTACTACACTAACACCCTACTACCAGTACGACGGTATCTTGCACACTATACGCCGCGAGACAATTCAGATAAAAAGGCCTATTCCTACCTTGGATCCAGTCTGTGATAGACTCCTCAACGCTCTAGACAGGCTCTACCTATGGCAAAAAAAAAAAAAAAGAAAGAAAAAGAAGGATAAAAGACCTTCCCATCAATCCGGGCCCCGACTACACCCTCCGATAAACTCTCAAGAAATACCGCATGTTCTCCAGGTCGATTGGGTACTTCAATCCCTCCGGTAACCTATGCCACCGACTCTCGTCTTTGAGAACAATCTCCCAGTTTTCGCTCAATGTGTGGTCCAGGAGCATTGCCATTGGGAATACCTTTCCGTTTATTTCGATTGTGGAGTATGAGCCTGCACTTTCCAGGACTAGTAGCAGACAGCCAACGCGTGTCAGAGCGGATAGGGATAGTAGGAAGCGGGTCGTGTCTCCGCGAGATTGGGTGTAGAGCTCGTTTGTTGTGAAAAGGAGGGTTATTAGTGATGTATTTGGTGGGAGAAGAGCGGGTGGAGGTGAAGGGGTTGAGAGGATGTCATGGTGGTGGAAGGTGACAGAGTAGTTTGATGGGGATATGAAAGTTGGGGGAGGGGAGGATGTTAGGCCCGTGCGAAGAGTGTCGATGATGGATGTCCAGTCTGCGATGTCTATCGCCGTAACATGCAATTCCCTTTTACTCCTCCCGCTCTCCCCATTCTTCCCACCCCCTCCCCCATCTTCCATCCCCTCGTTCGTCCTCAAAAACCATCGAACAGCCGCCGCCGCAGCCACAACCTCTGCCCCCGCCCCTCCACCAATACACACAACCTCCCTCCTGTTCCTCTCCTCCTCCCCCTCCCCCTCCCCCTCCCCTTCCCCTTCTCCCTCCCACCCCTTCTGTAAATCAAAAACTCCTGCAACCTCTACACACACCCCTGTAAACACCTCTCGATAACAGAGTGCCCGACTAGGACTCCACCGAACAGCATACCCTTCAAGATTTCTCTTCTCTCCAAAGGCCGCGGCGTAATCCCGATTAAACAAGTGCTGTTTGACTGTCTGCAGGAGCGGCTGCAGGGCCGGCGTAAAAAGTTCTTTGAACGCGCTTCTAAACACGTCCAGGATTTCTTGGGACTCCTTCTGCCCTACGGGGGCGGGATTGTTGGCGATGGTGGTGGACGCTGATGCTGACTTGCGGGGTTTTGGCTTTTGCGGGTTTGATGCACGGGAGCCACGGCGGCGATCTGATGGGGTGGGGTTTTTGGAGGGCATTGCGCCCTGATTCCTGTCTGTCTGCCGTGTTGACGGTTAATGGTGAGACGATGGGAAGTGGGAGAGTGGGTGTTTGTGTATTACTGTGCTGTTCGCCCACGGGTGGGCGTATCACTAACGTGGGGATAGAGTTTAAGTTAATAGGGCTTTTTTCCCCCCTTAAGCCTTCCCGTCGCTAGTGAAAAAACCCTAACCCTGCGACTACAAGGATTAGTTAGTCAGCGAATGAACAGGCAACGGTTCTGAAAGGGAAAACAAGATATATAAAAAAAGTAATAAACACAGTTCAAGTTAGATCAACCTTGAGCGGACATATTCGTTCATCTGCAGATATTGGTCGGCAAGAGTTTTTGTATTTTATTCCCAGGGGATGCCACTCATTGGTTATCACTCGGATGGTTTGTGCAATCTTGTGGTATCCTGTCTTTCGCCAGCTTCTGGACCTGGGAGGATATCATTGTGTCAAAAACTGTGACCCGTTTCGACTAGATGGTTTTTTCCAAGATTTTGCTACGTAGCGTCATACCACGTTTGGTGGTTGGTAGCATGGGGGGAATACTCGCACCGGTACCGGTATGTGCATGTACATGGAATAGTTGGTGCAAGTTATCCCCTCCAAACTCTCGATGAGGGTCCGTGATGGGATCGGCCAAGTGTCACCAGGATAAAGGTACCGATCTTGACCCGATTCATGCGGGACAGATTCACGGACGAGTGAGCGGGTTGTGTGTGTGTGATATTGGGGGGACATTGGTGGACAAAATACCTCCTGGATTATTCATTCCGAACATCTGCATAGGGGGGGGGGAGGGGTCAAGTCCATAGATTCGGGCCCTGATTGGCACGCAAGGAAAACGTGGAAGTGCTCATGGTAGAATAACCGTGATGATGATATTCCCTCCAAGAGATATATTACGATACCTTGCCACTGGTTTAGGCAGTGCGAGAAATAAAAGGTCGTCACAAACGAAACTGATATTTTGGCTTATCCGACCCGGACCCAATATTTTGTATAGTATTCATTTCTCTACGGTTGCGTGCCAAAACGGGGTCCTTATTTGTAGGATACAGGAAACCCCGTAACAAGCAAGCTCTCGGGGTACGATATGTCTCAGAAAACCCAGACACCTCATCAATCCCAATAAGCAAATGATCAACTCAAAAGCAAAAAAACAACGATATCGATCGTACGTAACCAAGATCCCTCCTTGTAAAAAAGAAAATAATAAAACAATAAAAAATTCTTCGCCAGCACAGGAAGGAGGACTCACCCAATCGGTACCAGCAAAGAAAGACAACTTTTTCCACCAATCCCTTACCTCCCCCATCGCCCTTCCACATGGCTGAGTGCTTCCGGAGGACGTTGGATACTTCCGAGCCTATGACGCCTCATCCTACGCTATGGTATCTATCGTTCTTCCTTTCATACCCCTTCGTTCACTCCCCCCGCGCAAGGAACGTCGGAGCTTACCACCCGCACCCAAGACCCGAAGAATAATACCCGCCGAGACTCCAACGAGCTCGGAACATTATCCACACCCGGGAGGCTAAAAATCGTTCTGGTCTTAAAAAGTTTTGTACCTTCCAGGAGCGAGCACTCCCACCACCCCCCAACTCTCCGACCTGGCCGCCGCTGCCACCCAAATGACTACCATCCACGGTCAAGTGAACGCCCATAGGGAAGCGGGAACACCGGGACTGATCTCTGTTCCGGAAGGAACCTACGATAGCAACTCCTAATTTTGTATGATATCGTACCTCGCCATACCAGCGATTGAACAGCATGTGATATTCACAAAAACTCACTCGGTAAATTATTGACGTATTCCCGATGCTCCAATCATACCCTCGGCATACAATGAAACCAGCGTACGTTATGAACGATGGGGACCCGTGTACCCCTGCGCAGTGGTCAGAGTATCATAGTTATCGTAGAGTTGAACATCAAACACACTCTCCCTCTCGGAGCGCGCTCCCAATATTTTTCTCCCTTCCCCCCACCGTCGATCACGGCGGTAGGGGTGGGGGTGTTTACAAGACTTGACAATTTTCCCCCCACCCCAGCACCCGTTCCGCGAATAATACCCAATGGTATCATAAGAGGCCAGCCAGAAACCACAGTAGCTGTTACGTACGATACCAGTAGGACGAGGGGTAAAGGAACAAAAAAAAACAATCCTTCCTCTTCTCTCTTCCTCCTATTATCGTGCACAGCCGATCGCGGACCTTACCCATGACATGGCACAGAGTCGAACTCTACCACCCCGTATTATACATAGCTGATCTAATTTTCCCCACAGCTTTCTTGGGTAGGATAGTGTCATCGGTCCTCCAGTTCCTATCCCCACTTGATGGTCTATCTAGTAATAACCCATGGTGGCAAGGGAAGTTAAAAAGCCCGGGCTCCCGATACCTTTTTAGCCGCTGCGCAGACTATCATACACTCCTTAGTCAAAAGCAGTTTTTTTTTTATATATATAAACAAGTTTTATAAAGTCCGATCGCGTCTCGGAAAGATATCATATCGGTTGGGAAAAGGCTAGCTAGAAATCCCTCTGACACCTAGAATTGTTACGAATTGTGTCAGAGCGAAGCAAAAGAGGAGGTTTTATTCAGTTTGCTCTTCAAAGGGGGAGGGGAGAATAGGAGGGCTCTCTCTTCATAAGGAAGCGGTCATGAAGAAATAATGGGAATTGTAGGGTTTACGTAAGATAGCACGGAAGGGTTGTGGAGAAACCCACATTCTCATGGGAATATCGTACTGTTTCATCATACATACTAAAAGCTTAGAAAGGAGGTATCATATACCTTCCACCATATCAATTATTATGTTAAAGAAATAAAAAAATAAAAAAGTCATCGGGAATAACCAATCACCAAATCCGATATCACGGCGTTAAATGCTAGTACTGTACTCGACAAAAACCGAAAAATCAGATGCATGCAAGCCGTCATTGACACAGCAGCGCATGTACAGTACAGTACAGTATTCGTATTTTCCGCTCACCCAATCTTCCCGACAACGGTTATTGTTATTATCAGCCATGGATAACATCACGGGAGCAACTTCAGATATGTGCGGTACGCTCTCGCGCGGGAAGAGAAAAACCAGGACATTTCTCGATGATTAGTGGCTTGACAATATCGCTATGTCTGGATGAGTAATCGCAGCCGAGATATTAGCTATGGGAAATGATAATAGAACAACACGGGAGGGCGCATTAACTTTACATCTGAAGCGCCGCAAGTATTCTTGCCGTGGCTTACCACAATCCAATTCCCGTTAGGGGCAGTAGACTACGCCGGACTTTAAAATCGGTGCACCCGAGCGTTGGAGACGCGGATCTTTTTCCGCTGCTCACTACATATCCGCTCCCGCGCGAGCTCTCCACGGCCCCAGCCCAAGTATCTTAACCAAGTAACCCTAGCCCTCTCGACACACGTACAGTACCTCTCGAGCGTCCCCCTCTGTATGTTGCTAGTCCTACTCGAGTACACATCAATCACCATTTGCGACGACACTTGCGACATCTCCTTTTGAAGACGAGACCACTCTCATGTGGAGAATACTGTGGTCAGGCATATCCTCGGCCATATTTATAACCTCGGTCAAACCTTCCCATCCTCGGCGGGAATATTGAATGGGAGCCGGTGAAGTTGAATGTGATGGAGAGTTCGGCATACGCTGGAAGTATGCGGGAAAGGAAATAAAGGGCTGCCTGTTTTCCATTTATTAGTTGTTTTCGTCCATCATCCAATTTGTCTCTCTCTCTCTCCTCCATTACCTGTGTTTTGGTCAATCAGTCATTCGTTCTTTTCTGTTTCCTATTTTTCTTTGCGAGAATACTCCTTCAGTTGGGATACTATTCAAATACGATCTTTCCTATATTGAACAATCCCCTTACCATACGATCGATCCGACCAAATGTCCAGACCGCTGTCCGTAAACCTTGTTATTGTTGAAAACGCAGATTTCTATTGTAGAAGCGCTTGCGCGAGCGGCACTCACGACCACTCACTCACTATCACAACTGTCTTCTCAGCTTGCTTCCACTGCGGGTAGAACCAAAATCTCGCCCAGCTCGCGAACACAACTGAACACAGGTCGGCACTAAAGAGCAGACCAAGCCGCCCATAAACGCCCCAGCCCCCCGGCGCAGCCCGTACTCATTGCGCCCTCAATGCGTTCAAAGCCATTGCACAAGGCACTTACAAGAAAAACTCTTAAAGCGAGTCATCACCATCGTACCTAGGGGGGGTAAAAGAAAGAAAGAGAGAAAGAAAGAAAACACTACCGGTAAATTGCGCTGCGGAATGAGTTCCTTCCCCCCTGCCCACCCCGCATATTCCCAATTGCTCCCAGTCGTCCGACCGCGCTAGCGTTAAATCCACCCAACTAATTCCGTTACTGTATGAAGGAGTGATTTTTTTTTTTGTATCATAGCTTCAACTTTGCTGTCTAACCTGATGCGTTGGCGAATTCTCGCCGGTCGTCCACACCTGTCCCTTTTGTCGCCCCGTTTTGGAGGGACTGACTGACTGTCTGACTGGGCAACTGGAAGCAAACCGCTCCGAGTCGGATATCTCATACCCAGCGCTTACACACACGCCCACAACTCCACCACTGCCGAGAGTGGGCTGATTAGAAGCGCGCCAGCGATACCAATCCGGATCGCGCACTGCGCTCCCATCCACTCAGGCTAACCGCGGGACAAGGTCAACCATACTATACTGTATATAGAGTACTCAAAAAAAACTATGTAAACGATACTAGTCCGGTCCAACCAACGGCTGCAGAGGGGTGCTTGAATATTCGCAATGAGACACGGGGATCGGTATAGGTGTTGAGTGGTCATTGGGGATCACTCGGCTAGTCAATTGGTCGGTTAGTGCTTCCAGTTTGGAGGGATGAAGAGAGGTGGGGGGGGGAACTTCTTTAGGTAGCTCACATCACGTCATGGTTGTACAAAGTGGCATGCATATTCGTGATTGAACTTCTAATGTACTGTACCCGAGTATTCGTTCATGTCTAGAAAGAAACCAGGAAATAGGGAAACAAAGAACGAAAGTTAGAGCACCATCCGGTAGCACATCGTAAATTTATATACATTGAAGAATCTGGAAAGAAAAAGAAAATCGTTAATGTTACAGACCTATCTAGTGCTCACTGTATCCATCGGTCCACCCGCCCATTACCACCTATTCACCCACCAAGTACCCATGGTTCCAAACATAGAAACGAAAAGGTGCTAATAAAACTCAAGGCAAAAAACACCAGAGAAAAATCCCCGACGCCCATCTCTATCAACCCGTTAAGAAAAAGAGAAGGAAAAGGATAAGATTAAACAAGGCCAATAGGAAACCACAACCAAATGGCATCCGTTATTCTATAAAGCCTAGGCAAAGTTCAAGAGGCTCATTTGACGCCTAAGGGGGCTGCTCTTTCCCGTCTCATCACTGCCAGAATCGTACACGCCACTGTCAGTGTCGATATCCCACTCCTCGACAAGGTTAGGTCCGTCACTCGAGGTGCTGTCGCCTTCCCAGGCCTTCTGTTGCGCAGCGCGAGTGTTCCAACGGAGGGTCCGCGAGACAGAGTCAATCCACTCGTTCGGCGCACTGAGAACTGTTGGGAAGGGGTATTGGGAGGCAGCGATCGTAACGTGGTCGCCTTGCTTGAGCTCGACACGCCCTTTGCCGTCAAACGCACACCAGGCGGTAGCGCGAGAGGATTTGGGGACAGATACTCGGAGGAGCATGGAGTCGTTAAGGAGCATAGGACGGAATGACAAGGTGTGTGGGCAGATAGGGGTCAATAGGATGGCGGGAATATCCGGGTGGACTAGAGAGCCCCCGGCTGAGAGGGAGTAAGCAGTTGAGCCTAGGATATATTAGCCTTGGTTAATAAGTGATAGAGTTGATCAAACATGCCAGTAGGGGTAGAGAAGATGCAACCGTCAGCCTGAACGACGGTCAAAAGATCGTCATCTCCATACAGCTCCAAGTTGGAGACATACGGAGACGGCCCGCGGTCAATTACGAGTTCGTTAAGAACCTCAAATTGATCACCCTCCGACATTTGTCCGTTTCCCTCATCTCTATAGACAGTGCAAGTAAATCGCATCCTCATGTTGACCCTCATCCCTTCGGCCAAGACCTTATTCAGATGTTCTTTGTAAGACTCAAACTGAAAGTTTGTCAAAAATCCCAAAGAGCCCAGCGAGAAGCTAAGGATCGGCGGGACAACACGCTGGAATAGCCAAGAGGTGAACAAGACAGTTCCATCCCCACCAAGAGTCAAGACAAGGTCAAAAGTTTCCGGGCTGACGCAGCAGAGATCGGGAGTCCAATACCTCAACATGTCCTTAAACTTGGGCTCCTCCTCGAGCAAGCCCGCAGCATCAAATCGCTTCGACTCCTTCAGTTTCTTGTCAACGTATACGTTGACACCGAGTTTGCTTCCGTAGCGGGGAGTCTTCATGATCCAGTGGGCCAACTCTCGGGTGAGATTGACAAGCTGATTATCCCGAGCCTTAGTGACAATCATGATATTTTTGACGTTCATCTTGCAGTTGTGCCGTTGTAATTGACGAGCGACCTCTCGTACCCCCAATGCCGTTTGGACAAGTCGAGAATGGGAGGTGTACTCATCACCGGCGATTTCCTCGAGGACACGTTCGACGTTGACAGCATTGTCAAAGCGCTGATGATAGAAACAGGGCGACTGGAGTGCCGGTAGGAGCTTTGCGGTGTTGGGGGCACTGCCGATGGACTCCATTGCGTCGTGATACTCGGTAAAATTCCCCTCCTCGTTGGGTAGGGGTGAGTAGCTGGCGGATCTTGGAAAGGGGGAAGTCATTACGTTGTCAAGGCTCGCTGTAAGCGTGGCTGGATCCAACGATGGGCGTCCGGAAGCTAACGCCTTGAGCAGAGTCTGGCGGGGGACGCTACCGACCGAAAGGATGGAGTTCCTGTGAGTGCTAAAGGAGGTAGGAGATTTGAGGAAAAAGGAGGGCTTCGAGGGTGATTGTGGTTGTTTATGTTGCTTCGGGGAGCCCGGGACAGGAAGGTCATCGGCAAGGTGGAGGGCGGGAGTTTTGAAGATTGGATAAGGCGCGGAATTATTAGTCGCGGGGGTTGTGGAGGGTGGAGAGAAAGTCTGAGGAGCAGAAGAAGCAAGAGTGGACGTGGTGGTGGTTATGGCAGCGGCGAAAGGATTCGTTGCACATGCACCGCCGGAGGGCTCATCCTCCACACTCTTCTTCAGTTTTGTGGGTTGGTTGTGCGAATATGGTGTTGCGACTGGGGTAGTTGAAAATGTGCTTGACGACATCGTTTGTGAAGCCTTCCCGGCTTGCTTCTTTTGTTTTGGTATTCCTCTTTTTGGATATTTCCTTCCCTATCCTTTCCCCACCTTTATTTTGTTTTCTCGCAAGATTTTCTCCTTGCAGCAAGGTGATGCTCAAAGTGGATCCGCGTATTCGGCAAAACTACCTGAGTAATCCGGTAGGAATCTGGCGGGTCCTTGCTGTGATGTGGGTGTGGGTGTGTAAATGCAAGTGCAGGGACTGGAATATCTCGATCGAGAGTCGACCGTTGCAGTTCCACCAATAAATCAAGAACTTGACCGATGACTATTGGGAATCTGACGAGACAACAGACTTCCCTAGTGTGCAGAAGAACTGCCGCAGGAATAAACTATTGCACCGCGGGAATATTGAGAGTAGGAAGAAGGGAAAAAAGACTCGGAGTGCTTCTCGGACTTAGGCTTTATCAGGTCGGAAAGATTACGAGTACTAAAAAGGCTTCTCCGCAACTACAGAGATCTGTCAGATCAACCTCAATTGCGCAGGTATAAGTTAAACCCTCTACTTCCTTCAAAATAGAGGAATCCAAAGTGATTATCGCTCACCTTGTTGACTGGTCGGGATCGGAGGAATTGTACCGCGGGGTCGGCGGAAATAGAGAGTATGAAAAGCAAAAAAAAAAAGAATTGGACCAGAAAGGAATATATGGCTGACTGACTTTCTAGATCTTCAGTGAGCTCTTCTGCTTTAACCAAGTTTTACGATTTCGGGAGGGAGGGGATCGTTGTTCTCATATGCACTCCTCGAGCCACGAAGAAAGCTCGGGCGACACCATACAGCAGCATTAACGGTACCATTGGGCTCTGCTACTCAACTTCCCAAGTGCAAGAGAGTGGGGGGGGAAGGTTGTGAAGAGCAAAAAAAAAAAAAAAGTTGGGCGCTTACAACAACAAAACACAAAAAGTGATCCAGAAGACACACTAACAGTACTCTCGATTAGAATTGATCGTGGGGTACAGTTTGATTGATTCCCAAGCGGCGGCTATGCCTTGGAAAGAAGGGGAGACAGAAGAGAAATTGCCCGCGAAGCAGGGATTGAAAAAATAGAAGAGTATTACTGTGATGTTGTGGATAACCGAACGCTTCCAGAGCGGTATTGGAGAGAGAGAAAGGGTTAAACCAACAACTCCACCAACCGATGCAAATGCAAAGACGCGAAGGGAACAACGACTAAGAGGGGGAGGCAAAGAAAGTGATACTATATCTGCTCAGAGACAAGGGAGCCACATGAACAAAGAAAAAGGAAACCAGCCAAGGGAAAAAACTATTGTGAACGAGTTCGTGAATGAGCTTCAAGCTGAAGAGGAAAAGGAAAAGAGGAAAAAAAAGGCGGGAGTGACCACTATTTTTGAAGGCACCACAAATAACTACATTTGCCTTGGTACCCACTGCCACTCCTTACTCGTACAGATCCACGCTTTGATCTTTTGCGGTAGAACACTCTACTGGCTCTCGTATCACCATCTGCTTTTTCTCACAATACCGGCAACTCCTCCTTCAGCCCCCCCCGCCCTGTTACTTCATGCATGAGCACACAGATTACGGTACTCGTGTGAAGCTGCACTCCAGAAAACTCCACGGGTAGGGGAAGTGTCAACTATCAAAACAACAAAACATCAGAGGATATGATCCAGGATCTCAGCTTGCGGATCTTATTGAGCGCACAGTGGATCTTGGAAACGCGGCTTGCTGGACTTTTGCGTCTCTTTAGAGGAGGAGGACGCTCGCAAAAGGCGAAAGAGACAACTCTTCCCGCCCGAGGGAGAAGGAGGGTTGCTATTTCAGTGGCTGATACTTGTACTTGTATCACGAGTACCAATCTGGTTTCAATAATTGACAGGGAAAAGGTTCACCTAACCCAGCCGCCCGGAGGAGGCTTCTATGACACCGGACAGTGGTCATTCCAACGTCTATTATTTCTTTCACCACTCCCACCCGTCAGTAGAGGATACGGTACTCAACGGAGTATGACGAATTCCTAAGTAGAAGTTAGGAGGAATACTGGTACAGTACCAGTATCATAATATACAGAAAAAGCGTAGAATTTCTCTCCCACAGGGTAAGTTAGCCGTTCCCTGCGAAACGGGCTTGCTGCAACGTTTAATGCAACCCCCATAGGAGTACAGCACCTGTCCAGAGTTAGAAGTGCTGTACCCGGAAACAGGGATTAAAGAAATACTGCGCACTGGTTAAGGCAAGATACTGTGCGTTTCTGGGCGCCAATATTTCGATGCCCCCCTGTTTTCGGGTAATTCTTTCCTGGGCCAGCAATCTGCATGCATAAGGCGGCAGACTGCGGGGCGGGCGATTTACTTGTACGAGTATATATTGTACTTTCTTTTTCCTTTCTTCACAGACCCGGGAATGATATTTCTCCTGAAAAAAACTGAACCCCTTGCCCTCCCCACATTGTGCCAGCATAGACAACAAATGCCTATTCAGCAAACACAATACCTGGTACCTTTACCACACTCCCAATGAACCTCATCCGAACCCATCGCTATTCCCCAGTTGCCCCTAACATGTACTGTACCGGTCGGGAATGGCTTTCTTCCTTGCGGCTCCAACCGCCCACGTGCCAAAGATGACACAAGCATTTTCTCCTGTACTCGAGATACAACGTCCTCCGTCTCAAGTCCTTCCCGTACCCCCCCCCCCTTTATTAGTTCTGCTGTTCTTGCAGCTGTTTGCCTTCTGAGCCCGGTGGACTCGGTTATGCCGACCCGAAGAAAAAACCCCAGGGACTGCGCTTCCCCATGAGGCAAGGGAACCTCCAACTCACCTATAGTTTTGGGCTTAGGGGCCCTGTCAACGTGGAATGTATTAGAGATGGTGGTATTCGTAATATAAGGTGCAGTAAACAACCATACGGTAGCGACCTGCAGTCCGTACTCGAGTTCACACAGACCTCCCGTTTGCCTCTTTCCAACCCCCTAGACAACAGTCAGGAGGAGCAAAGAGGAAGAAGGAGGCTAGCCAGACACTAGCCAAACAAAGCGGGCGAATATCCTTGGTCTTTCCTCTTTCATTTTATTCGAGTATACCCCTCGGCGGAGAACAAGCGAATAGGATTGATCGTATGCTCAATAATCCAAGGAACACGCGCTCGTGCAGTCCATCCCAACACAACCAAACAGGAGGAGGAGAGAAGGTACTCGAGTACCGTACGGTAAGTATGATACTTTCTTTTCCTGGTTGATGTTGGCGGTTTAAACGACAGGGTCAGGGCTAGAATCAACACCCTCCCCACACCTCAAGTCGAGCGTTTCCACAATACTCGTATCCTTTCATGTCACACCTGCGCTCGTGCACTCGAGTGCTCGTATCTTCGGCACGCAATCAGTGGCTTCAAAACAATACTGTACCCGACTGAGGGGTATGGTAGGAAAGTGACTTGTAAGGGCGGGTTGGGACGCGCTTCGGTAAGCACTCGTATCATATTCCTTTTTGCTGTTGCTCTCGTGCGTTTTCCGCCCATGCTTGGAAGCGCTGCATGAGTGATAGTGCATGAAGGACCCCTCCTCTTGCAGGCTGTTACTGACTAAACCAGTCATGTTTTGGGTCACATATTTTCCACATGTAGCTATGCAGCAGAGTGAAAATGATATAATAAGCCCATACTGCTAGTATGTGCGGGTACGGTGCTATACCGCACCAACATGTTGGACCAACCTAAAAGTGTCAATCTCGACGGGCCCGAGATACAATTATTATCATGAACTTGGGTAACACGGGCAGCGATTCCATGTGTACCAGTGTAAATAACCCGAGCATCGGACGGAAAGCGGGGGATTTCGTGGGGGTTAACGAGCTCTCCATACGATAGGCGCAATTTATAGAAACCGCCCTGAACCTGCGTGGCCAAGACCACGATATCAACGAAGAAATGTTCCAATCATAGGCCGGAGCCTGCGTGCCCTAAGTAGGGTGTTTGACCGGCAGTGTATAACAGCAACCGGGCTCAGCGGCGTGATATTGTGCGGCTGGGAAAATCAAATTTAAGAAATTACGAGCATCCTAAGGTACGGATACTGTAGTTAAAAATATTTTAGAATCCGATAGGGCACAGGATCTAATTGGTGTATCGGTTCACCAAGCAGGATACCTCGATTCAGAAACTTGTGGAACATGCGCCATATGAACGAATCGACTCATCGCTCCTATTGTGTTATACTAAAGTTGTGTGGTCACTTATTATATATCAGGAGTTGATTCCAATTTCCAATGCTCAAGTTCGCTGAGCCAACGGCAAGAGGGTTTTTTCTAAATCTTTCGAGAAAGATGTAGTAGTGTAAGTAAGGTCAGATGCCGTGCTAGAGGTAGGTAAAAAAGGGGAGAGAGAAGGGGGGGTGGGGGGCGGAAGCTACTTCTCTGTATCGATGGGTCGTGAAGACGTAATACTCGGAGGCCAGGCTGGGCTAGGCGAGAAGGCAAGGCAAGGCAAGGCCATTCAGTTCTGGTAATGCATCCTAATCGCCCGCGCTGTACTATGCTCGAGTACTGTGCCCTCCATCACGGGAGAATGCCTTTATGTCGCGTCTTCTCCGGCCGTCTACTGTAGAAATTCCATGTGAGGTTCTAACAGCACTCACGAGGTTTGCTCATACGGGTAAGTAACCAACTCGTTGCCTTAGCGTGTCCTGCAGTGTCTCAAGGCCCACTGGCGAAGCAAGGTGGAGGATCAGCAGCGACGTTACCTGCTTCTCTCTGCCCAATTCATCATGCATCACCCAGGGGTCAAGATTTATCCCGAGAACTCCCGAGCCCGTGTAGGCAGTCGTTTGGTCAGCATTCGAACTAATTTGGCGAATGGTAGTTTCGGGAGTTATTTGAGGGTGGATGCGGCGATATTGTTGGTATTAGCTTGGACTTGCGAAATTTGAGCGTTCGATGATTAGTCTAACCGTGCCAAGGTTGTGGCAGAGCCACAACCCACGGTTAAGCGGTATGTTGAGGACTTGGGTAAACCATGGCAGTTTACAGTAATAGAAACATATCTTGTTTGTTCCTGATTCTGGGGTTAGAAGTTGGTTCATTGTAGGAAAGCAGGCTGACCGATTACAGTCGCACCCAGTTGTCCCGGGCGGTCGAGATCCTATATCGTAGAACAAGCCACGCTAGCGTAACCAGAATTCAGAGAGATAGTCCACAGGGAGCATACAAGTACAGTATCCATGAGGTGAAGATCCCTCGGGCGCCATGTGATACCGAGGAGTTCTCCCAACCAAACTCGAAAGAGTTGTTTCGTGGGTAAGATAAATTTCTTGGCGGGTCCGCTACCGGTAACTTACTGCCCGTAAAATTATGATATAGTAGTATCAAATGCATGCTCAATATAAATTATTGTCCGCCCATCGGTTTCTCCAAGTCGGATGTCCAACACCATAGATAATACCCAAAAGTGCTGACCAAACGTTCATCGTGCAGATACGATCTG